CATATTTAAGAAAACTAATTTTTTTTTTATTTTATATATTTAATTATACCCCAACCATAATTATATCTCCAAAAATTGAAAAAACATACAGAAAAAAGGGTGATATAATCCAGGTATAACTGTAGCATATTTGATATTAACAAGAAAGCATGATAAGACTCAATAATGTACAAAAAAAAAAACTTTCTGCAGTGATCAAAAACTTATGCATGAATTATTATTATTATTATTATAAGAATTGATCTGCCGATTTTGAAAAAAAAACCGACCAACTAAGCTGAAATTAGCTTTAGCCGGGTCCAATCACTGGTTGAGGATTCCTTGTCCTCTTTCAGGATCTTGTAAACGATGTACACGGACGTCCGGCCCGGGAGAAACGTTACTCGCGTCCTGAGGAGTAATTAAGATATACTGTGTGCAGTCTGCTTCACGTGCCGTTTCAATCTGACAAATATCAATGCAAAAAAAAATGCAAGAAAAAATTAGTAACATGAACTCAACACGAATGCAACGTTAGATTGAATGTGAAAAAGAAAAAAAATAAAATAAATTACCATCATACGCATACTGATTCTACGGTTCACAGCATCCATGAATACATCAAATTCGTCAAGGCTAGAAATGTATAAAATATAAAGTTAATATAAGAATCAAAAATCAACATTATAAAGTGTAAAAATTAAAATTGTAATAACCATCGGATTGGACATCCCATCGCTTCCCAAAGTGCAAGCAACAAACATATAGTTGAAAATGATTTTTCCCCTCCAGATAACGATTTTGGATCTTTGTCAGAACTTTGATTTGTTTGTTCTTCAATTTGTACCTGAATATTACAATTAAATGGATCATTTTGAATTAATGATTTAAAATATTATATAAATGTTCAAAATCGATATTACAAGCAAATCACGATATATCATTAAAAAAATAAAATTCACCCGGAGATACAATCTTTTATTTTGATGGTCAAACAATAGCTTGCCAGTATAACCACGCTTCG